CCAGCTTCAAATTCCATGATAAAAGGTTGACACACAACTGCTCTAAGTTGTTGTGTCCAGCTTTTTGCGAATAACATAACCAAGAATAGACTCGAGTCAGTCCCGCATCATTAGCGTTACAGTTGTAATTACTGCACATGTGTTTCAGACAAGACTGGGTCAACTGTGGGACTAGATACTTATCTGCCAGCATGAGGAAATACAAGACATTCCCGAGAGTGACGTCAACAGTATATGTGTAGATATACCGCAGAAAAGCTTCAAAGCACTTTACACATTCTTTTGAATCTCCCACAAGGTTGATTTCATTGGTTTTGGATTCTTTCCATTCAGAACTGAACATTTTACGGAAATATTCACTGGACATAGCAAGTATCGATTTCACAACATTATACGTCTTGTCCCCGACATTAATAACCACGTCACTTAAATCCTTGTCGTTGAAAAGTGAACTCATTTGAACTTGAAGTACTTGGCAATCGTTGAATACTGTAATTACCCCACTTTCTTTATTTACTTCTGCAGTTGTTTGTGTCTCAATATCATCAGCATTGATAGTAGAGGGTGAAAGTTGACTCTCTCTATTGGTCATTTTTATCTAATATATGAAAGAAAAAACATGTAATATACTAACATAATATTTAATTATGCAAGAATTCATTCTTAAAATAGAACAAAGCAAGCAATCAAGTGATGGTTGCTGTTGCAAATTATCTTTCGCATGAATGTGTATGTGGACATTATGGAAATTTCAATACAACATTTTCAATAAAACATAGAACCCTAAATACAGCCTACACTTGTCAAACAAGTGATGAAATTTAAATTTTATTGACTACAAATATTTTGAAAACATCATATAAAGACCAGATTACCGAATACAAAGATGGCGAAGCGATAACTCAATTAATCTCTGTGTTTGGTCAATACTGAAGCCCTTTCCTATGTAATAACTGTTTATATTTACAATTTAACAGATTATTTTGTTTGTGTGCAGCAAAGAAAAAGTTAGCCTGACAAAGTTGGCGTAGGTGGCGCCCTGGACTGTTGCGAACTTTACTTGTGGTTTGGTCACTGGTCCACGGCCTTTTATATTCGCAAATTGATTGAAAATGACACACTGCATATTGCGTCATACTCGTTTAGCAGATAGGCTTTAATTGATTTTGTTTTAAATTGTACAAAGGCAGGATAATGATGTAAATATGCATATTACACATCAAAACAAAAACTCTTCTTTCTCGTAAATCATGTTTTACATGCACTGAAGGTGCTTAGAACCCAAGGTATGGCGGAGGGTGTGTGATAAACCAGACACGGTACAGCAAAAGATGGCGTGGTAGCGCTGAGTTATAAATTTAACTGTATTGGATACAGTTGACAAGGACAACCCCATTCCCACAAATACCAGACCAGAAGACCTTTAAGGGTCATGCATATTACACATCAAAATGGTAACTCACGTCGTAAATCCTGTTTTACATGTACTGAAGGTGCTTTGAAGTACAGCGGAGGTGTGTGGTAAACCAGGTACGATACAGCAGTGAGCAAAATATGGCGTGGTAGCACTGAGTAAATCAGCCAAATTCCACGAACTCATTATATATTCTTTTGTAATGCGCTATGACCTTTTTCAACTGAGGTTTGTCATCTATACTTGAAAACTACTGATGCGAATCATTTTTTTTTTTTCATATCCATGTTAGCAGCAGCCATCTTTTTTCTATGCATATTAGCAAGTCTTTTTTCCCCATGGAAATTACTAACAGCCAGTATTTCATACACATATTAGTAAGTCATTATTTACATACAATTAGTAATGCTTGGTTAACCAATGATAAAACACCAATTAGAACCATGTGTTTATCAGATTGCTGCTTACACTACTGCAATCAAAATACAGTGGCCCCTCGCTAAGTCGCGCCTCGGTAAGTCGCGATTCGGCTAAGTCGCGGGTACTTGGATGGCTCCCAAAATTTCTATTGTGTTTTGACAGCAATTTTGAAGTACAAAGACTAATGTTTCGTGGCATAGTGTTTTTAACTAACCGTTAAAGAGACAACTTAACACCCACTGTCCGTCAATTGCTGAGATGCAATGGGTGATGGCGGCCTTACTCAAGGTGTCAACAGGGGTGTCGAGTAGTGACCGTACGTACTTC